CCCCCCCCCCCCCCCCCCCCCCCCCGCTGTCAAGGAACCAGGGGAAAAGCTGCCCTGGTCCTTAAGATTGTTACCACCCTGGAGGACTCTGGAGTGTTTTTAGACAATTCTTCAGGTTAAGAGCTTTCCATCTACCACATTAATTGAAAATATGTTGGAATAGGGTAGCTCAATTGTCCCCACTATAATTATGAAGAGGAATGTTGTGATTTAACCATTACATATCATTCCTATATATAATTCAGTTCCATTTACAAATATTAAATTAAATGCCTATGCTATCTAACACACCGTGATAGGTGATTGAGATACAAAGACAGAATAACAGACACATAAAAATAAAACAAGCTAAAGATAACAAAAAGATAAAGATAACACAAGATCCCTTCTCAAGGAGCTTACAATCTGGTGAATATTAATCTTCAAAATTAGTACTTGGTTTAATACATCAATAATATGTGATTTTTATCAGTGTAGATACTACATATCTGAATGCCCGTGAAAACCCTCCTATGCCTGAGCAGATTAATTTCTAGAGTTGGTAAATTAGAAAACCCTCATCATTTCCAGATAGACTTTGTTTGTGTTGTGGGAAGAAAAGCCATTGATATTTCCCAGTCGGCTAATGTGCCTCTCTCTTCGCCTCTTCGTTCCCCACTACGAGCAGCATTCACTCTCAGATGCAAGCATCTCTCAGGTACCACACTCAGAAGCTGAACCTCTCTGAATTTAGCTAAGGTGATCCTCAAATAAAGCTGTATATTATTTGAAACTTTTCCAATTTGGTAGGAACTGTAAAAGCTCATAGAAAGTCTTCTAGTCTACCCCTCATTTTATAGATGTGAAAACTGAGGCAAACAGATTAAGTGACTTGCCCAGGATCACACAGCTAGGAAGTATCTGAGGCAGGATTCAATCCCAACTATTCCTGATTCCAAAATAAATATTCTGCGATGCTGCCATGTTGTTGTTGTTACTCAGTTGTTCCTGACTTATGACCCCATTTGAGATTTTCTTGGCAAAAGAAAAAGTGGTTTGCCATTTCCTTCTCTAGCTCATTTTACAAATGAGGAAACTGAGGCAAAAAGGTTAAGTGGTTTACCCAGGGTGGCACAGCTAGTAAGTGTCTGAAGCCAGATTTGAACTCAAGAAGATGAGTCTTTCTGATTTGAGGCCCAGCACTCTATCCTTTGCGCCACCTAGCTGCCCCCATTCATGCTGCCATAGCCTTTGAGAACACAGGTTTTCTGTGCTACAATGGGGCATTAGAGTAGGACATTAGTGGAAAATTGAGAATTACTTGTGTTGTTTAAAGGAATCATAATCCATTTTTTGAGAGATGCTTACACCTTTCCTCATATGGGAAATCCATATCCCAGAAAAGTCACAAGTTCTATTGATATCCAAGTAGGTTCCTATTTCTTAAGACCACTAAACACAATCCTAGCAAGAATATAATTATGAGAGGGAGTGTGGTGTAGTAGAAAGTGTGTTGGACCCAGAGTTAGGAAACTTGAGTTTGAATCCGTAACTATGTGACCAAGGCTAAGTCACTTATCTACAGTTTCTTTATCTGTAAAATGGGGGTAATGATATTTGTATTATTCATTTCACGTATTTCTTGTAAATAAAGTGCTTTGCAGATTTTATAATACCATGTCACCATGCCTAGAATCTTACTCTGTAAAAGATGACAGAACAAAATCACTCCAAAAGCATAAAATGCTTTATTGTTTCTATCTGGAATACAATTATCTTGCTAATTGAAGTGGAATGGGTAAATGAAACCGACTCAAAATCTACCTGAACACACCTCACCTACAGGCAGATTTTCTTATATCACAGCTCTCACATCTTTTAAAAAATCACTCTATATGAACATGAAATTTTCAGTATGTGGGCATGACTACTTAAGTTTGGCAAATATGGGCATAGTCTTAGTTCAAGTCATCTGAGGAATAGGGATGAGGTATCTGTTTGGTACAGCTCTCTACTCCTTCAGCAACAGCTTCTCCATCATATCATGATTTTTCCTCCAGACAAAATCTTGCTAAGTTTCTTGACCAACCACAAAATGCATTGAGTGACAGGTCATAAATGTTTGACAGAGGAGAATGACTGGTGGTTCATCATTCTAAACACTAGAACCTCCCACCTGAAATATTTTCTCCAGTGGAAGATCTAGCTATACCCCAGCCAGGCTCAGCCCTTGGGAAGTCAGAATAGTTATTATGATAATCTTTAACTCTTTTGAATATCCCATAACCATCTGTCTTGTTCCAGGCCAAAGCAGTCAGCCACAATGGAGAGTGGTCCCTCATCACTAAGGTGATACTTCATAAAAGTTAGGATCATTTCTAATTGTTTAAAATAAAACCCAATTCTCTCCCTCCCCACACTAAGCCAAGATTTCCCTCAGCAGTTGGCTCAATAAATATGGAATAATGACCAAAAAAATAATAAAAATCACTCTCTCCCTGACACAAACTTTCAAATAGTAGGGTATTTTTCACCATTTAGGCCTCAGTACTTTTTTTAGAAGTTCCATCAACTGTATAATATTGTGCTATAAGAAATGATGAAGGGGGTGATTTCAGAAATACCTAGAAAGATTTATATGAACTGATGCTAAGTGAAGAGAGTAGAACCAGGAAAACAATCTACATAATGACAACAATATTGTAAAGAGAATCAACCCTGAAAGACTTAATAAGTCTGACCAATATAATGATCCACCACCATTCCAAAGGACTTGTGATGTAAAATGGTATCCACCTCCAGATAGAGACCTGAGGGACTCAGAGTGCAAACTGAAGCATTTTTTTCTCTGTATTTTTCTTGCTTTTTTTTTTTTTCAGAACATGGCCAATGCGGAAATATGCCTTGCATGACTTCATATGTAATGGGTGTCATATTTCTTGCCTTCTCAATGTATGGGGGAGGGGGAGAAGGAAGGAGAGAATTTGGAACTGAAAATAAAAATAAAATATTTTTAAAAGCAAATTCCATCACCCGTTGCTTCTCTAGAACTACTTAGAGCATATAGCTCTGGTGGTATTGGAGTACCAAGCAATCCTCCATGTCTCCTCTTCACATTCCCAGAAGAAGGAGGGTCTGGAGTCTGGATCTGAAGTCAGAGGATTTAGGTTTAAATCTTAGCACCTCTACTTAGTACCTGCGTATAACCTTGGCAGGT